CAATGATGTTGACAAAGCTCCTCAAAATACCTTTCAAAACACACAAGAGCAGAAGTTAGAGATATTTAAGGCAAACAACTGTAGGACGTAGCACTAAGTGAGGTTTGGTTTGAAGGGTTGAGAGTTCCTAACCTGCACTTAAATATATAAAGACTTCAGACAGCCACAACTGCTTTCTGTCCTGATGCTTTGGTTCAATGCTGCAGTTGAAGAGAACATGGTAATTCAGCCATCCCTCAGAAAGGAGGCTGGGAACCTATTTAAAAGACATTAATCACAGCAGAAATGATGGAAAGCATCAGCTTCATTGCAGCCCTGAGGAGGCTGCTGAGGTAACAGGCTCTGCTTCAAGGTGAGCAGGAATCAGGTGAAGCACAGCAGAGTAACATGTTCTTCACAGACACCAACATGGCATTTCCCAAGAGTAATAAGCCACTTTTCCAGGTGTTCAGCTCAAGGATGAACACAGAAAATGCCATGAGACAACAAGAGACAGCAGAGGAGGAGCTGCTTCCCCCCTGCCAAATGCCTCCAAGCAGCTGCAGCAGGTTTAATTCAGTGTCCCAGCAGGGAACACACAGCCTGGAGGCCACTGCTTGGAGATCTCTAATTTAGATGAGGCCTTCTAATGAAAAAGCGATTACTGAACCTGAGCAGAAGTGAAACAGTGAGAGCAGTGCAGATTTCTCAGCAGCAGGAGGTGCTTTCTGAGGATGGAGAAGGTGCATGCACAGAGTTGCTCCAGGAAATGGATTTGGAAGATGAGTTGGATTTGGAAAATGAGTTGGTGTGTCTCAGTGCTTGGCAGAAGCCCAGGGCAGGAGCCCATGGACGGCTACATTGCTGTTCACACCTGTCACAGCAAAAACGACACAGCTCTTAGTTCTGGAGCTATTTCAGAGGAGCCAGAGATGAAATGGGCAGTGGTAAACATCTACTGGGTGATTCTGTTGGAGGCATTTCTGAATTACTCTGCAATTTTAAATACTAATGGTTGAGTTTCTGGGCTGGGAGTGCACAGTGACAGCTCATGGGGAGGTTTTTAGCAGCATCCAGTAAGTGGAGTTAATAAATGGAGGGTTTTGGCAACATAGAATGAAACAGGAGTTGTCAACACAGAACAGGGAACTTTCCTGATTAACTACAACTCTAAGTGCTCACATAGTACTGGTTAAGCCTTAGAACACCCACAACTCAAACCTGATGAGTATGTGCATGCTGATCATAGCATGCCAAGGGCCTGCAGTGGAGCTTAGAGATTATCCAGCCCCAAACCCCTGCCCTGGGCAGGGACACCTCCTACCGGAACAGGTTGCTCAAGGCTTTAGCCAACCTGGCCGTGAACACTGCCAGGGTTGGGGCAGCCACAGCCTCCCTGGGCAACCTGTGCCAGTGTCTCACTACCCTCCCAGGAAATGGTCCATCAAACCCTGGTGCTGCACCAGGACACAGCTGAGCCCTCAGGGACAGCAGGTTCATGAGGTAACGTGACTTTCCAGACAGTAGCAAGCTCAGAGAGCTCAGCACACACAGTGGGAAGGAGATGCACAAGGGATGCAGCACTGCAGGCACAGTCAGTAAAAGCTGCTCTTGAGTGCAGAGAAACATTAGGCCCAAAGGCAGCAAATATCACAGAATGATGTGTAGTTATAGCTCAGGAAGAATTTCTTCACTGAAAGGGCTGTCAGGCATTGGATGTGCTGCCCAGGGAGGTGGTGGAGTTACCATCTCTGGAAGGGTTCAAGGAACAAAGGGACATGGCACTCAGTACTCTCCTCTAGCTGACAAGGTGGCGATGGGTCACAGGCTGGACTTGATGACCTTGGAGGTCTTTTCCAACCTCAATGATCATGTAATTCAATGTGGACAAGAGTGTTGCTGGAATTAGCAGCTTGTGGCTGAGCTGAGGCAAACAGCAGAGGTAAAACCCTTTCCCCACACTGCTTTCTTGGCTTTGAGGGTTTCTTTGTTTGGAAGCTTTTGAGAGGTTTCTATTTAACATTTCCCCCAAAGGAGAAGCAAATTCTCTATTCACAGCAAGAAAAGCTCAGTAATTTCCCTTCCTCCTCCCCAGCACTGAAGTTAAACACACAACCCTTCACTTTCCATGGGCTCAAGTGCTGCACACACAGCAAATGGGACAGTTGTACTTGGCCACAAAGAGCCTGTGCTGCCAGGGAAAGCTGCTGAGAGCCACAAGAGCTGTGTTTTATGGCCCAGAGCTGTGTCTGAAGGCCCAGAGACCTTAACTGCTTCCCAGCACAAGCCACTGCTTCCCACAGAGTCTCTTTTATCATCCCAACTGCACTAAAGGAGTTAAATCCAATACTGGTAACTCTTGTACAGCAGCTTAAGTGTCCTAGCCTGAAGTGTAACAACTCCACTTAACCCCAGTCAGATTGCAATTAATATTAACCACTTTCAGGGCAAGTTCAGCTCAACACCAACATCCTAATAACGTACTCCACACTCCAACATTTCCTGTTTGCTAGCTGAGCATGTAAAACTCTTCTTCATCACACTGAAATGGGCTCATTAATAAAATATAGAGGATGTGCTACTTTAAGGCATCAGGAGAGGGAAAAAAAAAGAAGCATAAATTGGAGATAAGGTTATTTCTATTTTTAAATCCATCCCACAGAGTCACCCAAGATAGCTGAGAAGTGCTAAGCCCATCCCACAAGCTTATTTATTTATTTAAGGCTTCTGCCCTGTTATTTTTAGCCACAACAGACAGCAAAAGGCTCCAGCAGAAAAATTACACTGCTCAGAGTCTTCCTCACTCAGGTTAGACAAGTGAACACACCAGAGATGTGGTTTTCCCCCTCCCTTTCCCATGGGGGGCTGGAAGGAAAAGGCAATTTGATTTCTGCAGCATCAGCTAAGCTCAAATCCTGCTCTGTAAAATCTGGAGCTGTGAATCCTTCCTCATGCCCAGTCCCCTCTCCCTATTCCTAGTCCCCTCTCCATATTCCCAGTCCTCATTCCCAGTCCTCTCTTCTGGCTCTCAGGCCTCAATCCCAGTTCCTTTCCTCACTTCAAGTCCTCATTCCCAGTCCCCTCTCCTTATTCCCAGTCCTCTCTCCTCACTGCTCCAAAGCAGTTTCTACCAGGGTTTCTGGTGGACCAGAAGACCAAATTGCACACTGGCATTCAGGCTCTTTCAGGAAGCATTTGGATTTGCACAGAATCATTGAGGTTGGAAAAGACCTCCAAGACGATCCAGTCCAACCTGTGACCCATCACCATCTTACCAACTAGACCAGAGCACTGAGTGCCACGTGTAGTTGTTCCTTGAGCACCTCCAAGAGTGGTGACTTCACCACCTCCCTGGGCAGCACATTCCAATGCCTGACAGCCCTTTCCACGCCTTTCCACGTCTTTTTTAACCTCAATGATTCTGTGCAAATCCAAATCCTCCCGAAATAACACCTCAATGCCAAAGTGCAATTTGGTCTTCTGGTCTACCAGAAACCCTGGTAGACATGGGAGCACTGGAGAGTCTCCTTGGGTGTTCAGTGTTGTTCCTTCAAACGGGAGCTGAAGGGAAATGTGCTGCTCAGGTTGAGTCTGTGCTTTCCTCACAGCTATTTTCCCCTCTCTTTAAATCTGGCACAAGATGAGTTTTGAGTTTAAAAACCCACAGAGGTTGTTGGTGTCACTCAGCACAAGAACAGTTTATTTGTTCTACCTGCCTGAAGAGACACTGAGTGTGCTGAGAAAAGGCACTACTGAGGCCACAAATGGAAGGGCTTTTATTCAGCATCTCTTCATGCATGGCACTAACAATGCCTGATGACTAAGAACGACTTGAATTGCTAAAAGAAGTAGCTTTCTCTCCTAGTGGAAAGGTCACATTGCATGGAGAACTGTGCAAACAGCTGCCACAAGGCAAGTGTCATGAGAAGAAAGATGAATATAAAGCATAGAATGCAATTTTGTGGGGAGAAAAAAATCATTCCTAAACTTGAGATTTGGGACAAAAATACAGAATATTCTGTGTATTTGGAATTCAGTGCTGGGGAGGTCACAGCTCAGTGCTGTGCTCAGCTTTGGGCACTCACTGCCCAAGGGCCATTGAGGCACTGGAGAGAGTCCAGCCAAGGGCAACAAGGGCAGCAAAGGAAAGGCCCAGATGGGGAAGGGCTGAGGGATATGGGCTTGGTAAGCCCTGAGAAGAGAGGAAGAGACCACAGGGAAAGGTAATTGTGTTCAGTTAAACCTGTCTCATACATAAATTGAGTTCTCCTTGTTAAGGAAGTTGTTCCTCTGAGCATTCAGGTGTTTCTAGAGATTACAGCAAGTCCCAAGTGTTGCCTGGAAAGATAAGCCACAAATTGTGCATTACCTATGGGCCACATCATCATTCAAACTGAAGCACCCAGAGAAAGGCACATTTTCTTGGTCCCTTTACACACCAACAGGATTTTGCTTTGAAACTCCAACTAGGAAGATGTCCAGAGTGAAATATGAGTGTTATCAACTCCTGCATCTGTGTCTCAGCTGATCTGTGGGTTAAAAACTGGAGTGCTGCATATAGCTCTCCCCTATGAGAGAGCAGGGAGCTGTTCACCCTGGAGAAGAGAAGGATGTGTGGAGACCTCAGAGCAACCTGCCAGGATCTGAAGAGGCTCCAGGGAAGCTGCAGAGGGACTCTTGGTTAGGAATTGCAGGGACAGGACAGGGGACAATGTGGAGAAATTGAAAGGGGGAAAATTAGATTAGCTATCAGGCAGAAGTTTTCCCTATGAGGGTAGTGAGACACTGGCACAGGTTGCCCAGGGAGGCTGTGGCTGCCCCAACCCTGGCAGTGTTCACAGCCAGGTTGGATCAAACCTTGAGCAACCTGCTCTGGTGGGAGGTGTCCCTGCCCAGGGCAGTTTGAACTAGATGCTCTCTAAGCTCCATTCCAACCCCTTAACATACACACTATGAAACCACATTTGTCTTCACCTTCTGTTTCCCTTCTCCCAGACCTCATCCATGTCAACCAAACCTACCATGTGGTAGTGTTATGTTTGCCCCATCGATGATTGCCTGTGCCAGCTCGTGGTCGTTGCTCTCGAAGGCGTGAGCCGCAGCCTTGAGGGCATCCCAGATCTCCTTGCGGCCCTCAAAGGCTGGAGCTGTGTCCCAGAACTCATCCCTCTTGCTGCGCAGTTGCCCGTCCGTCATGGGGTAGTCACTCTTCCATTTGGGCTTCTCCTTCTTCAGGGGCTGGTTACGGCCAAGGGCAACTGGGGGAGAGACAGGAAGGGAATTAAGACCAATAACAGCATAAAATCACTGAAGCAATCACTGAATAATCTGAATTAATAGATCTCTGGTTCTCCTCTTTAGGATCTACAGAGCTGAAGTTGCCTTGCAATCCCTCTCCTCTAAGGCATCACCTTCTCCCCCCAGGCTCCAAGTTGGCTATCTGCTCACTCTGACTTTCAGCACTGCCAGGACTCTTATAAACCATTTCCATTCATTTAGCTGAGCAAAGGATTACCTCAACTTCTGTTGGAGAGAAAGAGAAAAAGAAAAAGAAGAGAACAAAATTCAGTGCACACCGGGAAGAATTTCTCCCTAAAGAGTTATAACTCCATTTCCTTCCCTTCCTTCATTTCCTCCTCTATTTCCTCCGTCCATTTAATTTCCTTCCTCCATTTCATACAATCATAGAATTTTAGAAGTTGGAATGGAGCTTAGAGATCATCCAGACCCAGCCCCCTGCCCTGGGCAGGGACACCTCCCACCAGAGCAGGTTGCTCAAGGCTTCATTCAACCTAGCTGTGAACACAGCCAGGGTTGAGGCAGCCACAGCCTCCCTGGGCAACCTGGACCAGTGTCTCACCACCCTCACAGGGAAGAATTTCTTCCCAATATCCCCCCCATCCTGCTCTCTGTCAGTTGAAGCCATTCCCCCTTGTCCTGTCCCTCCAGGCCCTTGTCAATAGTCTCTCTGTAGCTCCTTCAGTCACTGGAAAGCCATAATTAAGTCACCCCAAAGCTTCTCTTCTCCAGGCTGAACAACCCCAATCCTCTCAGCCTTTGCTCACTCCCTCCATCATCCCTCAAATCACCTTGGGGCCTCCTCTGGAGGATATATTTGCAAGGAAACAAAGTCAGCTCCTAATTCAAAGTCCCAAATGAGAACTGCCTGGCACACACTCACTGACTCCAGCTCGTATTCCCCATCCCCTGCAGAACCCAACACTAATCAACTCCTGAATCCTTTCAAGTGCCCACAAACATTGCTTGCTTGTTGTTTCCATGGGCTTCCTTCCATGAAATTGCTTCCAGTTGCTTTCCAAAGCTGTGCTGACCATTTAACACATTTCAGAGCAGCAAACCCAAGTGTTTACAAAACACCAAGTTTCCTGGCAGGGCCTGGTGCTTCCCAGTCCAAGTCTGGGCTGAGCACACCCAGAGGCTGGAGATGCTGCTGGTGCAGCCCAGAACAATGGAGGGAGCCAGCCCGGCATGTATTCAGCACTCTAGGATGAAATGGTGAACACAGATGTGGGAAAGCACATTAATTGTTCTCTTATTAAGGCTTTGCAGTGGGAGCAAGAAGATTTCAGCCAGGCAGAACAGGACTCTGGAAGGAATGTGGGTCAGTGGGCATCTTTTTTTCCATTCTACTGTAGCTAACAGCTGTTTGCACGTCCAATGAATGCTAATTCCTCCCCCAGGGGCCTCTCCTGCTCCCCAGGCATTAATTATGAAAGCAGGTTAAAGGCACTTAGAGATTCAGCAAGGTTGGAGGAGAACGCTAAGACCATCAAGTCCAACCATTAACCTGTCACTGCTGCAACCCCTAAACCATATCCTCCAGCACCAGATCCAGATGCCTCTTGAACACCTCCAGGGATGGTGACTCCACCACCTCCCTGGGCAATATCCCAGTGCCTGAACACCCTCACAGGGAAAACATTTCTCCTAACATCCAATCTGACTCTGCCCTGGCTCAGCTCAAGGCCATTCCCTCTAGTCCTCTCCCTGCAGCCATGGCAGGAGAGACATCCCCCACCTCTCTCCAACCCTGTCAGGGAGTTGGAGAGAGCCATGAGTTCACCCCTGAGCCTGTTCTTTTCCCTTAATCCCAGTGGCATTGCCTGCACATGGCTCTGTCTGCCTGTTATCCAGGGAGGAAGCTACCAAAGGCCATTTCACTCCCTGCTTCCCCCCAAGACACCACCCCAGTTTATTGCTCTTCACTAGATAAGAATAGCAGGGGAGAGACTAGTGCCAGAGCTCCTACAGCCTCAAATAACTTCCCCCTGAGATAGGATCCTTCCTGCACAGACAGCACTGATAAACCCAGTGATAAAAGTCTTTGTTTTCAAGTTGGGAAGAAGGGTGGGGGAAGAAAGTCACTCTGCAAATGCCTCAAATGAACTCTACCAAGCCAGCCAGCCATTTTCCCCGTTAAGGTGCTCAGACACTCGAATATTGCCCATGGAGGTGGTGGAATCACCATCCCTGGAGGTGTTTAAGAGGTATCTGGATCTGCTGCTGGAGGAGATGGTTTAGGGTTTAGGGGTTGCAGCAGTGACAGGTTAATGGTTGGACTGGATGATCTTAGAGGTCTCTTCCAACCTTGAACATTCCATGATTCCACGATTCCAGTTCTAAGCCTTTAAACACAATTTGGCTTCATCACAAGTGAGGATTTAAGAGGGTTTTAGTGTGTTTACCATGTCTTAGAAGTGCTTCAAGAATCCCTCAAAGCTTTATGCCTCCCCTCAAGAAACACTCATCTCTCTAGCTGTAAGTGCAGCAAAAGGGACACAAGAAACTCAAGACATGTAAAGAACCTAATAATGTGTAAAAGGCCCCAACTACTTCATTTGCCACCTTGTGTTTTAGTCACTGAAGCAAAACATCACTACATGAAATTCTCCAATCAAAGCTTTGGACCACATCAAAGGACTCTGCCTTTCCTGTTAATAAGGCTCATCAAGAAACAAACATCACCAGTCTGAAACACTTTGTCAAGTCTCTACAGTGTCAGTTTGCTGTTCCTCACTTTGGAAGCAAACCAGAGCTCAAACGAAAACACTGACTTCATTCAAAGACCATACACATCAGAGGCACAACCAGCTCTCAAGATCTGGAAGGGAAAGCAACATCCACATTAATTTTTCATCTTACATCACTTCAACATAAGTAAGGAATTATTAATATCCTCCTTGCAAACAGCAATTGTTTCCTACATGCAAGAAGACACATTCTCTCTGAGGCAACACTCGAAGCTGCTGTCTCAGTAGATGGCACTGGGTGATGTTTTTGGCAAGAGATTGATTTAGGAGGGAATGTGGAAACCATTAAGAGTTTACTTGTTAAAGGATCAGCACCTTAGGGACACTCCACAGTAAGTTAGGTTGTTGTTGCTCCAATAGCTCACAGATACTCAAGGGGTGCTGGGCAGTCCAAAGAAGGGTAGAGTCATATAACCATCAAGGTTGGAGGAGACCTCCAAGAGCATCAAATCCAACCATTAACCTGTCACTGCTGCAACCCCTAAACCATAGCCTCCAGCACCAGATCTAGATGCCTCTCAAGTATCTCCAGGGA